TTAGACAAAAACTTGGTGAGATACAGTTGAATGCAATGGTAAGTACATGATCATTATGCCGCAGTGACAAAACAGTGGAAGAAATAAATAAGAGTTTAAACTAGGGTGGGATCAAGACTGAAGAGGTGCTCAATGTCCTTTACTGCACTGTTCACAACAGCTGCCTGGTGTCCCCACTAGAGCTAAGAAGATACCAGATAAGGCACCAAAGGCGACGGGATGCAGATGAGATCTTTGCGTTCAGAAATGGTGAGACAGTAACAGAAGGAAGGATCTGAAGAGTGGGATTCGACAGGTTAGCTGCTTGGTGCACAGGGGAGAAGCAATTTCTTGTGTGCGGAAGTCAGGACTGGGAGAAGGCAGTGAAGAGGTTGATTCGGTGGGAAATTCATACACACTTTGAAAGTGATAAAACCTGAAATCATGGTTATCTAGAACACTTTCACTATGAGAGGCTGCTAGAACTCATAGCACTGTGGATTCTGTTAGGAAGTACTTAATTTTTTGGCAAGTTTTTGTAAATAATTATTTTTAACATATCCTGCTTATTATTTTTTTCCCCAAACAGCTTGTCACTGCCTTCTTTATGTTTCTCATTGTGGCATAAATGTGCTGTAAATACATGAGACATTAATCAGTGATTTTGATAGCCATTTTTTTTATCTCAGGGGAAAACAAAGTAACTTCTGCTGCTCTCAGAGCAGAACAGAAAAGTAATGACCACTGTGAGCACAAACTGGAGAGGGAAAGTGACAGTAGGCTGTGGTGTTAAAGGCTGGGATAAAAAGAGGGATTTCAGCTTTGTAAAGGAGTGGACCCAGAACTTACTTCCATTATGAATAGAAGAAAGTTGACTCAGTGGGTTACAGGATGTACACTGTGCAAAATGGTTTTGGGAATTTTAGCTGTCATAGGGGGATGCAAGAAATTTCTGTCACTTATGTAACTATACAAACAAGAATATGCCATGTTGCTTTTGTTTTTTATAATTGTGAAAGGAGGTATTAATTCCTTGAAAGGGAGGATGTTAACCTGTTGGATCTAGCAGTCATACCTTAGTCAATCAGTGTCCATGTATGTGTAGGCATGCGTATGTTAGCATGTTTTCTCCACTATGAAGCTGAAACTTCATGCTATATAGAAGTTTGTGTTGGAAGTCAATTTACCATGTGCTTTTCAGTCCATCATTCAGAATTTCTGGTTCTACAGGCTACTGCATAAATGTATTTCACTGATTTTTCTTATGTCTTGAGCTAGATTGTTAAAAAAAACCCAACCAAAAATCAACCAACCAAAACCTTCATAGAATTCAAAAAAATACATTGACACAATTACACTGATAAAAAGTGTTTCACAAAATAAAAATTTACTTCATTAAATCCAGAAATCTGTTAGTTGATACATAGCTTTCCTCCTCTTTCTCAGTACACACAGAGTCAGTAGCTGGTGCATAACACTGTAGCTTCCACTTATATTGTACTTACCTCTATTTTATAGGTTGTTTTTTTAATCTCTAGGACTAACACAGTGGCTTTCCTAGGACATTTGCACTAACCTCTACCTTCCTCAAAAATTAAGTTACAATATTCGGAGTTTTGATAGGTAAGGGAATTAGCAGCCCGTTCAGTCTAAAATGTGGCTATTTTTTCTGTTAACATACCTTTAGGTCACTCTACCTTAAATTATAAATGTTGCATGAGCGTCAAGTTTCACTAAGTCACTAGCATAGTCTCTGATATAGAACAGTGATTACACCACAAACCCCAGAGAAACATGGAATTCCTTCTGTGTTGCACTTTCACAAAAAGGCCAAGTACTGGTTAAATTCAATAGTACAAGATTTACAAAGTGTTTTTGTTAAATTTATGCAAAAATCTAGGTAGATACTTTTAATCACTTCCATAGCCATTTATTTTAGCTAAAATAATAAAGGAAATTGTGCATACAGTTGAAAACTGAATTTAGTGGAAACTACTTTGTGTGTGACTGCATATGAAGATGAGGCCGTCATTTTGTCAAAATACGTGACCAAGGTGAACCATTAGCTGTTGATCTGTGAGTATAATGGATACTTCTTAACTTCACAGATGTACTTTCTCCCAACTAATCATTTTTTCACAAATGTTACAAACTTCTCATACGTGAAATGAAATTACTGAAGTTTAATCATAAATGCTACAGGACCTAAAATATTTACTCTCTTAGCCTAGAGAAATAAGAAAATGTAAATACTGAGGCTTCTCTGGCTGGTGAAGACATTTGATTATTAGATTGGGAAAACAGGACTCTTTTAAACTCCCAAACACAAAAAGTAATTTACATGGAAACTCTGTATATAGCAGGGCATCTCCCTTCCCTACTTCACCTAACTGTCCTCAGCTGCAGCACTCGCATATTCAGGAATCCTAAATTTTCATGTTTACGTGCTTTTTTTTTTACTTTATGCTTTTGGAATTCACACTAAGCTCTTGCATCCTGCACGTAAGAGTACATTTAAGAGAATGGCAATGTTTGTTAGAAGGTCATGCAAACAAGATCATGGTGTGTAGCATAATTAGTATGCTTTATTTATTGACACAACAGTAAACATGTTATCTATGCTATTGATGATTTGACGTTATTCTGGTGCATATTCAAATTACACACATAGATGAAGAGATCAGTATCTTTTTGACAGAATAGTTGCAGAAAAAGCAGGATGATTCTGAACAACCTCTCTTGGGTTGTCTTCCTAGGGTATTCTCTGTGTAACTAAGTCTTCTGAAACCGCAGCATGTCCAGTGACACACCTTCATCACTACAACAGATACAATTAGTTGGACAGGGACTTTTGCTTTTCCCTTAGAATCATAGAATGGCCTAGGCTGGAAGAAACCTTAGAGATCATTTGATATTTTTATTTCTGCTGTTATTCAGTATCAGTATTTATTCTATTAGTATACTTTAAAACCACAAAAGTTCAGGAAATAACCCTTGCCAACTAATCTCATTTGCTATCACTTGAACAGTAAGGCAGTTATTGCAAAATCATAACACTTCACTGTTCAAACAGACAGGATTTTTATGGCTCTCCAACTGAATTCTGCTCCTGCCACTTATTACAGAACATTAGCTTTAAGAGAGACTTGCAGCTGGTACTAATGACAGGCAACAAGACATTTGTCACCCACCTATCCTCTTGGGCAACAATTATCCAGGTGCAAACATAAGTTACCAGATGCTCATTGGAAGCAAAAAAATGCAACAAAAGTGCTCCTAATTTGATTTTGCATACATGAAATTCCCAGCAGGGATCAGAATCAGTCAGTTAATCCACCTCAGACATGGCAATTTCCACAGGCTGTACTGGGAACTATGCATTACAGAATCACGGAATTGTATTCACTGATAGGATGTGGGGAAATTTTGTAGAAATATTGAAGCAAGTCAAGAGCTGGAGAAATCGGTAGCTTGGAATTTGTCATGCACCTGCTTTAATATTTAAACTAGATTGCACTTGGGCAGACAATACTGTTGAGAGGCCCAGAACATGCTTCTTCCATGCAGCCTTTTGTATCATTCTTTGATATTTGTTATCTCCTCAGTTGTGCTCTTCCTTTTTCAGGACACATTCAAAATAAAAGTAAAGGAAATGCCTAACAGGCCTAGCAGATGCTTCCACACTTGGGCCATTTTAAACTACACTTTGGCTTCTGGATAGCAAAATCTTAACATATGTGCTATTAGTACCAAGTTGGGCATAGCTTTTTTTTTTTTTATTAATAGAAAATTGTTAGAAAAGAGGTCTTAAGGATTGTTTAACTATGTAAGATGGTATTAATAGCTGCTATTAAGAATACTCTTGACTAGAATGTGTCAGAGGGCAAGTGAGCGTTCCTATGACAGCAGTAGCATGTTTTGTCCTGTTTAAGAAGCTAGGGACCACTTTAGTGGATCTCGTTTTCCTGGAGAGTGAAGGCAGAATGCTCAGCTCAGTTCTTACTGCTTTGGTGAATCACAGCTAGTTGGTGACAGGAGCTTATTTCCTAGGTAGCTTTGCACTAGAAAACTGTAAGAACACTGAACTTAGATATTTTACTGCACTGACTCTGCCTCCATCAGAACTACCTGTAAGACAGGAGTAATTTTTCACCTTATTTGAACACCAGCAAGTAACTGTGGTAACCAAGGGCTATAGCTTAGAAGTGACTAAAGAGTAAATGCTGCAACCTGGTTAAATCATGAAAAATTTATTTTCATTACATATATATGAAGGTAAAATATTTCAGTCAATAGTGTTTTGAACAAGCATTTCCAACATGGACCTGTTAGTGTAGCTAGGCTGAAATTTAATGTAAAGTTAGCGTTTTGCCTTTATTTAGTAATTTATTTCTAGTGTGTATATACAGAATTCATTTTTCCGTTAGAATACCAGAGACAGTAATATTGCAACATTTACATTCCTCATATAAAATGGTGTAATGTACATTTTCAGCTTGGTGTAGATATATAAATATGTACAAAATAAACATTATTGTAATTAATATATCCAGACCACATATTATTTAGCAACATCAAAAGCATATGCACATAGATTTAAGTGAAAATGGTGAAAAACACCCTTATGACATTAGTGACCATTATTTGCATATATGAAGTAGTATAAAGGCTCCTCTTTCAAGCCTTCTGTGGGCATCCAATAACTTTAGTAAAAACAAAAGTAACGGAGAAGCATAAAATAATTATATATATAGTGTGTGTGTGTCATAATCAGATGGTTTACTAGGGTCCATCTTGATCACAAATTGATAACAACATAAAATACACATTTGTTCAGAGCATAAAATATTGCACAAGAGCAATTTCTTTTCAGGAAAACAATTCCTGGGTTTGTGAACAGCAAAAATGGTTCTTAGGTGTTAAGGAAATTATGTATTTGCGGTTTCTAAACCAAGGAACGTTCAGTAATACTGTCAGAACTGTCATCTGTCAACTTCTTACCAGCCTGTTTCATGGCAATGGTATGTCATTAGCAAGATTTGGCAAAGAGAAAAGGCAGATAGACAGTACGTATATATTTATCACAGGTCAGACCAGATCCAATAGTTACCTAAACCAACTGCTGGACAGTTTCAATTATCTGACAATTTGACCCTTATAGAAATATAAAAGTCTTCAATGCTAGTCACAGTGATAATCACACAGTAGTAGAGTAAGATTCCATTCTTCTCTGGTTGGAAATCATCTTGTCTGAATTCCCAGTCTGAAGGGCACTTTCCTCAGTATCACTGTCACTGCTGTCTACAACTGTGTGATCCAAAGCCATCTGACCAGTCCTCCTGTGTAGATGAAAGTTCACCCCACTCTCCTGTATGGAGTTAGTTATAAAATCTTCATCAGAAGAATGAAATGATTCATCATCTCCGGTGAAATGGTTGACAATGTGAATCCCATCAAAAGTGGGTTGGTCTGAGAAGTCTCTCTGGCCTTTTAGACATTTGATCTGTTAGAAAAAGCAGAAGTTAACAGTTAATCGGAGCTGAAGAGTCCAGCAATAAAACATAAAACCAAAATAAACCACCACTACATTCCCAAGAAATCTTTTACTGAACTTTTACAGCATTAAATTAAATGCTAGATCTAGAAGTAGCACGTTTGATAATCACTTTGAAACTCAGCTGAAATCAGAACAAAGTGCCTTCTCACTTCTGGCTGTGCAAGCAGAGGCCTTGAAAGAACATCTTAAATAGTATTTGGAGTTTAGCAAAATTCTCCTTCCATCCCCAGAGTATTTCAGTCTTAAGGCTTAATAATCAAGGTACCTAGAATTACTAATGACAGATTCCTCCAGGCTACTTACTGCGGCTTTAATATTCCCATGAAGACAGTTTATAATCAGTTTTCTAGAGTGGCCTACCTGTTTTGACAGTACTTTTGGCCTTCATATCTTTTACTCCATTCTTTGTCTTATCACCTACCTTCTCACCGGAAAAAATCCCTCCCCCAAGCCCAAAGAGCAGGGTCCCAAGTGAATATTCCCAGTTTCACACAGCCACAGAAGAAAAAACAAAACAAAACAAACCCCAGAGAACATGCTTAGTTCTGTCTATATTGCAGGATCAAGTGTCTTTTCATTATCTAGTTCAGATCCAACTGAGATTTCAGATGAAGTAGTATAAGAGAAACTTCTAGTATGGCATAAATAGATTGGTTTTAATTTTAAGAGGACAACAACCATGATAAAAATGATTGTCAGACCATAGATGGATACAGTGACATTTTAATTCATAAAATGATAAACTATTAGAACCATGCATTCCAGCTCTTCAAAAGTAAAATCTAAAGCTCCGGCAAGTCCGCTGTTAATTTAGTGAAAATAAGTGTAACTTATCAAAGACATTCCTGAGGTTTTGGGTTTTTTTAGAATTTCCTTTTAGTAGCAGCTACCTCTGTTTGACAGTCTAAGAGTCTAAAGATAAAAAACTGTAAGGATGAAGAAAAACATTAAAAATGCATTACAGAAGCTTCCAAATGTCACTCTGGAAGCTCAAGAAGAAACATGTACCAAGTGCTATTTTGTAAGCAACTTTTCACAGTAACAGAGACATGGAAAATAGAAAGAAAAAGCCTGAAGAGCTTTATACAAGTCTATGACATCTCAGAAATCAGAAGCAACAGTTTTATTCGTCCATTTGGGGAAGAAGGAATCTCTGTACAAATCATAGGCTTGTGCAAAAGATGAGAATAAAAAAAAAGATTGAAAAAAAGATCACAGGAGTCATAATCATGCTAAAAGCTGTCAAATTGGATGTTAAAAGCATGTAAAAGCTCCAGCTTTTAATGTATATCAAAGCATCCCTGTTAGGAAGATGGGTACATGCTTGGTTTTAACTACGTGTACTAGCGTGGTGCTGATAACACCAAGGTCGTGGGTTCAATCCCTGTTCGGTCCCCATGCATTGCCTGATCTAGTTTAGAGGTGTCCCTACCCATGACAGGGAGGTTGGATTAAAATGATCTCTAAAATCCCTTCCAGCCTAGGCCATTCTATGATTCTATGATACTACTGTTAGGTTTTTGCATTTTCTTCACATACACATAGGCTGCAGTTGTTTCATGAGGAACTTGCTTGTGTAAAGGCAAGCAAAACAAGGAGTTCCACACTTGCACAGCCTAACTCATGATGTAAGCAAGATCAGTTTATGCCAAGTATTAGATACAGGATAGTAACATACATGTGGAATAAATAATTTTTACTAGCTTATATACCTAGGTAGAGAGATTCTTGTGTTATTTAGAAATAAAATCCCTAAAAGTATCCTGCAATATGTTCAGATTAGCTGCCACATGAAGTTTCCAAAACAGCTATCAATTTTAGTCACTAAGAAAATAAAACACAGAAAAACAAAACAAAACCCACCAATTTCTCCCCACCCTCACCACAGAAAAAGTGCTCTGCTGTACAAGGGGCTGCAAATTTCATATTAGAGTAAGAAATTACATGCTTTTAGGTTTGCATAGTTAAGCCATTGGTTCACCTGAAATTACAAATTTCATACTCAACGTTAGTTGTTCTGAACACTCAGAAAGCCAAGCCAATGATCTCAACTGTTTTCCTGAAGGCTTAAACACGATACCTTTCTATGAATGTATTTGCGTAACATGACAAAATCATGGCTTTACCGCTTTAGGCACTAGCCTTTCCAAACACCAGATGAGAATCTAGAAAATACTGTTGGTGAAAAAATCATGAATAGACCGAGTCTTTGCCAATTCCTAAACTGACTCTGGGAAAACTGTATTATGTTTTGTTACTCAAATGACTTCCCAGAAGCACTTCTTTTGACTTGCAGCTTTACACTTGCCTCCTGTTTTTTAATTCAGTACTCCTCACATCCAAGGGGAACCAGACTGCTAAGAAGAAACACAAACGTGCTGTAGAGAACACATGCAACAAGTCTATTGGTGGTCATGTAGTTCCATAACTTCTCTGTCTGCTTGAAAAATGGCCATCTCAGCCAGAAGCACAGACACACACGGTAGCACAGAATTAGTTTGCATCATGGGGATCGACAGGCTGGATAGCAACACTGCTAAAGAGGACATGGAGGTTGTGACACATGGGAGGCTAAACATGAATTAGCAGTGTCCCCAAGCAGTGACAAAGACCAACAGCTTACCAGGCTGTATTGACAAGGGTATAGCCAGTATATGATGGGAACCAATTCTTATCTGGCAGTTGTTAGACTGCATCTGTCCTCACTCCTTCCTCAGTACAAGATACTTGGGAGTGCATTCAGGGGAGAGGCACCAAGACAGTGAAGGGGCAGAAGCCTTAAAGTAACAGAGAACTGGTTCTTGACTGAAATGCATGGTGGGAGAAGAGACATTGATCATAACACAAAACACAAGGTTGTGTTTGAATATGAAGGGAAAATAATTGCTACAAGGCTAGTTAAGAATTAGAAAAAGTTGTTCAGAGACTGTGGACTCTGTCCTCGGTGGGTTTCAACACCCAATGGATAAAGACCTAAGCAACCGGCTTTGAATTCCATGTCGATTCTGTTTTGAGCAGGCAGTTGGAGTACAGGGCTCCCAGGGTCCCTCCCAGCCTGAAGGATAGGTCACAATTCGGCGAGATGTGTGAAAAGCATGGGAAGTGGGATGCATATTACTGTTCTGATGGCAGCCATTTCAAGTTTGATAAACTGAAATATTTTGAACCTGCTAAAATTGCTGCAGTTCTTGAAAATTTAATGCTGTCATTTGAATCCAAATGCTTTTACATTAAATTTCAATACATCAGTTCATCACAAAATCTAGTCTTCAGACAGAATGTTACTTTTATTTTGCAATTAGAAATCTGACACTTTAATCTTGAAAATATTTTAAATAAGTTATTTTTCAATCTAAGGTAAAATCCAGTTTGCATCTTACACTTCTTTAAATGTGAACTTTGATGAAAGCAACTAATCTTCAAGAAAATAGAAGTGTCCAAGAGAACAGATTTGGAACAGCTGTGCACTATTTTCATGTTTTATGTAGTTTCAGAGTTGAAGATACTTCAAGGGCACCTCAATCTAATATTTGTTCAGGAGTATTTCTGAAGGAATCTGATTACCTGCAATTTTTGTTGCAGCAGAACGGCTTTGTAAGGCTTCTCAAAGCATTTGGAACAACTTGTAGACAGCATGCAATTAGGTAGCAGCAGCTAATGCCAGCTTAAGGATTAAAATAGAGGTTTCCTAAAATTAGAAGTTTGGTACTCTCAAGTAACTACAGTCTAGCAAGTAAGGCTCTCCTAACAGAAGCAGCAGTATCTTTTTTCAAGATGGGAACATAAATGTCCTACTAGCTTAAGAATGGTCCATCAGCCTAATATTCTGTGTCCAACAGTGACAACAGGACTTTCATGTTGTTCTGTTTCTAAGGGAAAGCATGTGAATGACTAATTTTTGCAACCCATTCCTTTCATATTCTCAAGCCCTCTCTCACTTGTCCATAAACTGTTGTATCAGATATGAGAGGGCATCTTTTCCTAGCTGTTTCAGCATCTATTTATAAAAAAGTTGACCATGACCGAAAATTTTTTTTATTTGCTGTCTACCTCCACAGCTTCCTATGGCAGTAAGCCACAGAAATTCCTTTATTTGAGCTAAACTGACTTCCTCCTTGTTTCAGGAATTGCCCTCAAATTCTAATAATGCAGTAAAAAGTGGTGAAAAGCACTTTCACAGTCATGATTCCAAAATTTACATCAAAATGCCTCTCTCAGCCTTCTCTCTACAGCAGAAGAGGACCAAGTCTCTCACAAATAGGCAGTGCTCAAACTCACTGATCATTTTAGTTGCCCTTTAACTTCTCTACAGACGTTCTTTAAACTCTCTACACCCATCCTGAAGTGCAGAGACCAGTCCCACATCAAGGTTTCGTAGCGGCACTATAAACTCCTTTATTTTGTTTTTAAGATACTTCTTACTGATGCCCAGCATTGCCTTGGCTGGTTTGGCTGCTGCTGCACACTAAGCCAGTGAAGTTGGGGGACTTGCAGCAACAACTTGAAAATAGTTTTCCTGATTTGTAACTACCAATTCTCATTGTGTAGGTATGGCTTAGATTTTGCAAGTGATGAATTACCTTATTCACATTAAAGCTCATCTGCCACCTTTTTAAGAGAGACTTCTTGGGATTCTTGCTGTCACTGATTTATTTGAACATGGAAAAAAAGCTTAAAGCAAGAAGGAAAGCATTATGCCAAGATCGAGTAATTCATGTGGCCAAATGTATCAAGATAACGGGAAACCTGACTAAGGACCTGGAGGAGGGGCGTGTGGACCCAGTCCAAACATTCCCTCACCACGACCCCCCCCCCAATCTAGTTCTGCTCTATCCTTATCACTTCACCTGAAGGAAAAAGAACAGCCCTTTTCCTTGCAACTATGTTGAGCAGAGTATGGACTTAGCCCAGGGTCTGTCACTTCTGTTCCTTTTTGCACAAAGAAC